CGATGGGAGTGAAGTGGCCAAGTGTAAAATAGCATTGGTATATGCTAGAATCCTCTTCTGTCACATCAACAAGCCTAACAAGTGTCGATTGTTATTGCTGATAGTACGTTTCAGACAGCTCAGGAAATTATGTGGAGATTTTGTGATTCAAAACATTGTGATTGTGTGCTTTACTGCGCTGTCATTGAAAACACAAAAACTCATGTACAAACGCGTGCACAGCAAAAACAATTTTGTATGTTATATGGGCCCTGACACACCTATAAACAATAACACACAATGCTTTACTGAATTGCATTTTACATTTTACTGTCTGTCATTTGATTTACATCGTTGTGTTTTCGCATTAGAAATTTCGATCCTTTGCCATTTGCATCCGTAAAAGAATTACGAGCTAACTGAACGTAATTTATTTAAATATTTTAGTCTGAGCCGCTTTCCATTGTGTTGTATAAAATATAAAATATATATATAAAATTTAACTTTTGTTAAAGAAGAGTATATTTTTTGTGTGTAATGTCTGTCGGTAAAGTTCAAGTCTGCGAGCTTCGAATAATGAAGAAACCACTTTTCGAACTGTAGTTTTGAACAGAGTATTGAGGCGTCGGTTGCATCCCCTTTACGCACTTAACTTTTGATGTTTATGTGACTCATTTTGGGAACAAAGCACGCATAAAGTCCAATACAAATAACTAATTAATGGGGCTTTAGTATAACTACACCTTGGGTGCGCAAGAGCGCTTAATTACAAATGTGTTTGCCAACCTATTCGAAGCCATATTCCATGGTCAAATATGCGTGCCAAATTGGCCAGCAGCAAGGGCAAATCAATATCATCTTGTAGGCAAACACAACGTTCAAAACCAGATGCAGAAACGCCTTGAATTATGTCCGGACTCCTTGTGGTGCTCATTTGTGTTCCGCCAAATACTCGTAAACAATTCGCAGCTAAACAGGCCTGTCCCCTCCAGCAACCATATTGTGCAAGCCGCTTGCACATAAGCATTCGGCATAAGCACAAGCACAAGTATATGTAAATACGAAACACAGTGCGCTCAGCTATGACAGAAGCCAACCATTCGGGACACTCTTAAAACTGATGCTAGTGAAAAGACAATGCCGCAGTGAGTGGATCAGCATAAAGACTTTATAGCCAGAAGGACAAATTGTACTGCATAAGGGAATCCCGGACAACAAAAACTCGTCTAACTTATTTGCAAGCATATAATTCGACACTCCATTAGTTTTTGATCAAATATTGTTATATCTGAGCATAGTTTTAATTAAATGCATATAGATTTGGCCACGACGAATAATCATTTAGGATAATCCCATAATTGACTGCTGTTTGCTATGTAAATACAGGGAATTGGAAGCTCCAGCGCTCCTTCATTGTCAGTCCATCACCCTTTAACGAGCGTGTGTGCAATACTGTAGGTGGTGTGTGTGGTGTACGGTGTGAGGAAGCAAAGACAACAATTCTCGGCAGGAGCACTGATTTGCAATGTCCTGTGGCAAGGGCAATAGACAATTTTGCAAATTTCCTAATTGCACTTGGTTTGGCTTGCTCGGGCTGAAAATGATGTCGCTCGGCTTACCACACAGCCAACAATTTTGGGCTAAATGTCAATTTAGGGGGAGGGTGAAGGGTGCTAGGACGTGCTGCATCACTTTGAGGGCCAATTTGATTCTGGACTTGTATGCATTTGTAATGACTGTCCTTGTGGCAGGTCGGGGCTTGAAAGTTAGTGCAACGTCGATGCTTAAAACGAGAAAAATGTAAGGCAAAGCATCTTACAAATATATTTGCTTATATTTAATAATCATGTTGAGGTCTTAAAAATATTTAAAATATTTCGACTGACATCCGATGCAATAATTGCGGAAAACATGAAACTGCTCAAAAGTAGGCAATGAAATTTTTTCGAATGAGTAAAATGTAGATACAATCTGGCAAGTAGCCAAAACAGGTGTAAAATGTGGTAAATATCATGATTTAAGAGTGTTTTAAGCAAATAATTTAAGATGGTAAAAGTTGTAAAAGTTTTGTTAAATTTGCTTCACAAGTCGAAACCGTATATGGTCCAGCTAAATGTTCTGTTGAAACTAATTCATATTTAATATTTTGCTGATGGTAATGTGTGTTTACCCACATACATATTCAAAAATATAATTCATACGACATTCGAATACGTAATTTATGGACGTGAGCGTGCATATCGTTTAAGAGCTTATATCTGCCAGACGGAATTTACTTGTGTGGTCGCTTTGTTGACTTAGAGACTTGTCACGTTTTGCAGTCCCAACGAAAATTCAATGTTGGTGACAGGGCCAAACACGAATCCCCACCTTTCCATTCAGTGAAAATTGCAATTACAAGGGCCATGCCCGTATTTGAATTTTGAATAACGAGCCTGTTCAATGCTATCAACATCCGTGTTTAGTCTCCCATTGCGTTACAGTGCGGCATGTAACCAAACGTAATACAACTTGGAACTCTTAGGACATTTGCAAAATTTGCAAGCACACAATTTTCACAATTCCTACGCATTCAATCAATGTAATATCCTCTTAGTATAACTACAATTATGGGCATTTTATTTGCTAGTTTTATAAAGGATGCTGAAGACAATGGGAGCCCTTATTGGGCAGCACTTCTTGCCTTTCATCTCTAGAGAAGTTCATAGAATATTTAAAGCTTTTATGCGAAAAGTCGAAATTGATTATTTAAAAATTTAATAATCTCTCGAATAATTGTTAGTTATTGACTGGTCAACATTATAACAGAATCAACAAACCATAATTAAACAGGCAGGCTGAAGTGTAGCTTTCGGAATAAACTGCAGAGATTTATGATGACGGCGTTCAAATGAAACGGATGGGAGGGATGCGGTGCATGTCCACTTATCAACAACAACGAGCGTGGCAAGCACAATTCGTACAACATTTTAGTCATTATAAATGTCATCAAGCATTATTTTTTCCATCAACTCGCGCCAGCTCTTCGGGCAAAATGTTTATGGCTTTTTTGGCGCATGCTGGGCATAAAGGGGGTGCATGAGGGAGCGGGTGGGTAGCTCAAACTACTTGACAATGGGCATTATGCTGGAACTTGAACACAATGTGCCATAGGGAAAGGCATTTTTAATGAAATAAAATTAAGCGGGAAATTGAAACCGGACAGCGCGTTAATGAGAAAGCTATGTAACGACGGCCCTGGCGTTAACGAGTGTCTACATTTGGGAGTGGGCGCTATCTGGTATCACTTAATTAAGAATTTGTCGTAAAGCCGTACCAAATAACATGCTATTAATTTTAATGGAAAGTGTAATCATTAACGAAGGTAATTTAATGTCCGCGACTTGTACCTGTCATTAAAATATTGTATTACAAATCAACTAACTAATGAATAAGATAAGTTTAATATTTTTCTCCATCTTTAAAAAAACACTGTATGTTCTGACTAGTTGAATTTGGTCAATCACTGACTGATGCATCAACGCAGAGCCCAAATTCATTCCACAAGTGTGCAAAACTGGTGGATATAGTATCAGGTGGATGGTCGACAAGGTGGCCATTCCACAAAACTAATACATTGACAAATATGTGACTCCAACATTTTCTTGTCATCCGTTAGACTTAAAATTTATTTTCAAATATAAGCTATCAATATATAAGCTATGTAAGTTGTCAATAATTCTAGGCAAACCTGTTTTGCGTGCGATGTGGAAGAGCCTTCATTTCCAATCGATTGGGCTGGCGCCTTCTGACTGTTGCATACACGTTTCTCCCAATTTTCAATGGGTACAGGTTGCAAAATACATTTATGAATAATTTTAACTAATTGTTAGTCTATTAGGGCAAAGGCAGTATGCATTGGCTTAAAAGTCCTTTTGGGCACTTAAGTAGGTCTTAAAATTGCCTTTTACTTGTATTCAATTTAATTTTAAGAGAAAATACAGCCGAAAATTGTTGCAAAACAAAGGGAGGACAGCCTGGGCACAACAATTAGTGTCTCTATTATGCTACAACAAAAATAAACAATCGGCAGAAAATGAACAGCAGATAGGTCACAGAAGCTTAATTCTAAATGGAAGCTATCAAGACAAAAACCTTAACTCCTCGTGTAAACAACAAAAACATTGTTATCAGACATTGATGGCGTTGGCGCCATCAAGGCCCATAACAGGCAGCCCAAGGAACGTTAGCGGAGATTGGAATTGGCAATCTTTGTGGGCTAGTGGGCGGGTTTCGTATATTCGCGTTCAAATACCAGCAAGTTTCAATGGACTGTAAATGAATAGAATTTACTTGGCCTACAGCTTCGTAAGGACTCTAGGCGTTGGTTCTATTTGCGCTATGGGCTTCTTTGGGAAAGCCAGCTGCATTTTCTTTCTCAAGTGGTAAAAGTAGTTAAAAATAAATAAAAGCGAGGTATAAGGCCAAGCAGGAAAAACTACGTTTTTTGCTAAAAAGAACTTGGTGAACTTTCTTTGTGCTAGCTGAATTTTGATTTACGACCACTTAACGTTTTTTATGGCCTCAGACAACAAGAACGCGTTAGTGTGCGCCTCAGCACTTATGCCAACGCACATACATAAAATGAATCCCTACGCCTTAGTATGGAGCATTATTTCCAGTAAATTATGGTTGAGAGTTCAGCTTCTATGTACATAAGTACTTTTGTTTGCAAGTCACCAGAAACAAATGAGAACGGCGCAGTCGGGTGCAAGCGACTGCACAATACTCTATTCACAACTTACCCGATTTAAGTATGAATGTACTTTATAACCTCTTTAACTTATTCAATGCATATCTGGAATATATCTTGTATTATCATGAGAAGTTGCAGAATGAAACACACGTTTATTGATATTTATTTCAGTTTATTTTATGGAAATGCAATTATTTTATACGATATTTATGTTGCATTCCTAAATTTAATAAGAACGATTATGCTTGTATTTCTGTTAATTTTAATTAATTTAATAATGTGTGTGTGTGTTTTAGTGTACAAACACATAAAACACTTTTAATTTATATATTTTGTGTTTTTATTTTAATCCTGTAATATTAAATGCCATTACACATTTCACATTTGTGCGACAATAAATTATTTTTGCATTCATATTTTTACTTAGTGACATATAATTAAAAGTTCTGGGGTTTGAGGGCTGCAAATAACTGTATTTGATTATTATTGTATTATTTGTTATGACAAATTTATATTGTTATAGTATAATACAGTGGCAAAGTGCTAGCGGTCCATTCACTTGGCAAATGCAGTAAGTTGCATCGGGATTCGCAATAAAAAAAAAATCGCTCGCTCAAAAAACTCGTTGATGCGTTATTTTTGGATGCACTTTAACGGTCAAAACTAAACCAAATACTAGTTTACAATTTTATTATTAGTAATTCTAACCATGTTTATTCAGGCGCAAAAAAACGCGGCTTTAAAGGTTAATTTAATTTAGGAAAAACATGCACACTGGATATATAAATATATGTATATACCGAATGTTCGATTGCATGTTTTTATGGTGTATTTTAATTATTTTGGTCTTGCCATGGAAACATAAAATATGTATAACATGTTTTAGCCACTGGTATTTTAACTCTTTTGTGTTTTTAATTTCCTTACAATTAATAATTAATTAAATTATAATTATAAAACATAATAAGCACTGACTCCGTACGCCTACGTATCAAATTATTTATTTGCAACCTTTAAATAAAACGTGAAACCCACATATATCTCTACTTCAATTAAGTCCGAATATAAATTTGTATTCTACGTATGAACGTACTAATTATATTATAATACATACTTATTTTTATGCTTCTTGATTTTATTTATATCGTCAATTCGTCGTTTTGATTGCTGTGTCAACGTAAAGTTATTTTAACTTCCATTTGCCTGTGCATTGTCAGAGGATTATTATCGTATGTTAATAAATAAATGAAGAGCGATTGAACTCAATTTTCAGCTTAATGGACCGACAGATAGACAGACAGACAGCCAAACAGTTAAGCTCGAGCAATAACTACTGCCTACTGCAAAAGTCCACTGACTGCAAAAGTGGTTGCCATTGTTGTGGCTGTGGCCGCCATTGCCATGCGGCGCATTTCCGTTTGATTTGCGATGGGCTCTAGCTGACGCCAGAGCTGCGCACCCGTTAACGCCTTCTCGGTGTGATTGGGGTTGACCCTCTCCAGCTGGGACACGGTAACGGGCTCATCGCGGCGCGTTCTCACCGCCTGCGGCAGTGGTCACGACGACATGTACGTGCATTGTGTCTTTGGTTGCGGCTCCGTCTGCTCGATTGGTTGAATAGCGGCGCGCTTCCAGTAGTCGCGCACCGTCTCTACTGTTTCCATGATGCGCAAAAAGTTGCGCCCAGCCAGCATGGCAACATCCTCTTCACTCCAGTTGTGATCTTCTAACAGCGCAGCCAGCAGTTCCGGGTACTTGGATACGTCCTCCAAGCCCATCGGGGGCATCTCAATGCCATCGTAACCGGCACCCAGGCCAATGTGTTGAATTCCAGCAATGGCTCGCACATATTTAATATGTTCTATTACATCCTGCAATCGCGCCTGACGTCCGCAGGCCACGTCCTCTGGGTCAAAGCTCAGCATAATGAGACCGCCGTTCTCGGCCACCAAACGCAATATATCATCGGGCACGTTCCTCGTCGAGTTGCACAGCTGGCGTGCCGCCGAGTGGGAGAAGATGACGGGCGCCCGTGTCACCTGAAGCACATCACGCGCCGTTGCATCCGAGCTGTGCGAAAGATCGATCATCATGCCCAGACGATTCATTTCCCGCACAATGGCCTTGCCAAAGGGCGACAGGCCCTGCTCCAGTGGAGAGGCACTTGACCCGGCCCAGGACACATCGCAGCGATGCGTCAGGCTGAGGTAGCGTGCACCCAGCGAATAGAAAGAGCGCAGCACGCCAAGTGAAGAGCCGATTGTGTGGCCCCCCTCGATGCCGATCAGCGAGGCCAGGAGGCCGCGCCTGTGCGTGGCCACTATCTCCTGCGAGGATGTCGCCAACACCGTATCTCTGGCATACATGTCAGACAGCCGCCGCACAATGTCGATTTGCTCCAGTGCCAGCTGGACAGCATCCAAGCCCTGCGCCTCGCATGGCACGTACGCCGACCTGCAATGAAACCAAACACAAAAAAATATAAACAAAATAGTTTTATGTTCTTATGGTCGCTCCGAAAGGCGAAAAGTCAAGTAATTGAAAAAACTGCAAAATTTATATCCTTACAAAGAGAGGAAAAACAAATATGCTTAGGCTAAAATATATTTAATAATTGGAAAAATGTACAAATATAAATTGGTTGATGATGAACATCTACCTCCTAACTATACAGATTTATATAGCTAAATTAAAATTAATCCAACTGTCATGCTACACTTTTAACATGATCTTCGTTGATTTGTCTGACTGTTTGGGTTACTTTGACAATATTTCTACCGATTTTAGTATGCTGTGAATTTATGAAGTTTTTCTTCAGTTTCATAAGTTTGTTGAAAGTAAGTCCAACACAAAAACACATTAACACTTTTTTCAATATGCACAGGACGTGGGCGCGCGCTGAACAGTTCAGGTCCTGCAAGGAAAGCCATCAAATCTTTCCCAGGGAACCGCCACAAGCTCAACCGAATACTTTTGTACCGTCATTTGATAAAGAACAACCGTCAATTGGTTTGTTGTTGGGCTGGGAATATGGACGCCTCTGGTTGAAGGAGCATAAGGAGAATATGGATAAGGAACTAAGTGAAGCGAAGCCTTATTTTATTGAGCCCGACTTTAGTTGGTGGGTAAGCAAGCGCACCACAGTCCTAGATCGTCGTCAGATCTTTTTAAAGAAGAAACAGAATCCACATATCAAGAACTGTAATTTGTCTGCATTTGCCACATCGAAAACCATTCGACAAAAACGTACAAATACTACAAACCGTAACAGTTCAGCTGCTCCCGGCTCGGACCCTGCTGGATTAGTTGCTCCCGGTTCGGCTTCGGCCGGAGCAGTTTCGATGACCAACGCTGAGAAGGCGAAGATATGTAAATGCAAGGACTGCAAGCAACGCCGCTGTGGAGGTCAGGAAAAAAATAAACTCTTAAATGAAATAAGGAAATCCGTTCCGATTCCTTGGTATTGAAATTGATATTGTTCGCTAGAGGCTCAATGCAATCTAGGGGTACTCAATTCTGGTGGGACACGCAAATATCTCAAATCTATGGGAAATCAATGGCTTGTTCCTGAAGTAAACCACAGAAATATTTGATTACATGTCAATAATGGATTAATATAGAACAGCTAGCTACAGTAGCGTATAAAGAATAGTTTTATCCTCATTTGTGTTTTCATTTATTGAGTGAAACGACTTCATCTATTTCCTGATTTTTCCCCATAACCCATTCAGATCCTTGCAATATCATTATTATGCAGTTTGCGTGCTACCCATAAAAGTGGTTAACTAACATTACATTTGAATTTTAAATGCAATGACATTGCAATAAGGAGGGCCACTAAAAACTACTATAGCCAACGAAATGGCGCAATCCTGGTGAGCTTTAGTTCAAGCTCCGGCGAATACGGACGGAGTTTCGGACGGAAATTGAACAATGACGACCACTAAAATTAAGTTCGAAAATGGCCCAGTTACGCTCTGTTTGGAGGCGGGCAGAGCAACAGCTTGAATGTTTGGTATCAGAAGTCTACCAAATAAAATCGAGTGGATTGCCCATCAGCATTTTTCCCAAACTGCAGCTGTCTGCCGCCTGTCAAGCACCACTCCTCCTTGTGTTCCCAATCCAATACATTTGTTTTGCTGTTGTTTCTAGTTTGGCCATGGCATGCAGATAGGCATGTTGGCTGGGTGCTAAAGATTGCCTGGAAGCTGAATACGGTTGGCCGTTTGCCCTGCAGACGCGCAGTGGCTGTTGCCAAATTTTATTTTGCAGTCAAATTGTTGGCATCTCTTGCCCGTGGGTGGGCGGCAGTGTGAATGTGGGCATTGCGGCGATTGCTTGTATTGCTGATGTGCGCCCGGTGCTAGGTAATTGTTATGGCTGAATGTCAAACACGGTTGAATGTGTGTCATCGACTCCTATCAGTAAAACATCGACCAAAAAACACTATCAAGTCTTTTGCAGAGAACCAACATTTTGTAAGTTGATGGATCTGTTGTTATTTTGCTAGCTGAATGGACCACAATTTTATCAGCATAGGATATAGTCATTTTCTAGACACCTAAGTCTACTGTGAGCTTCATTTAGAGCCTCGGTTCTTCATCAAAAATTATAGGCTGTGATTGTTCAATTTAAGTTCTTTAGGTAGATTACTACTTACCAGACCTGCACACCGACAAGTCCTTGCTTAAGCCGTTCCATATCTGTTTGCGCCCACGTCGGGCGTGCCCACATCGACTTGTGATCAAGGTCGTGGCTTAGATGAACCAGCTCCAGGCTACTGTGCGCGTACTTGCGCACGTTCCAGGCAAAGTTGTTGTGTCCGTCGACGAGCGGTACTTCACGTAGGATGCGCCTAACGATGCGCAGTCTTTGTGCGTGAGAGTTTCGGCTGGGCGACATGAGAAAGTGTTGGTAGGCCAGTGTAGCAGCTATAGCCAGCAGGCAGATGGCGCTAACGAGGGTCAGAGCCACCATCCAGGAGCCGCGTCGCGACTTGTGGGCGGCCCCTGAGCTGTTTCTGGCCTTGCGGGCAGTCTTGCCCTTCGCTTTGCCGGAGGCACCGGCTGCCGCTGCCGCTTCCGTTGCCAAAGAGGTGGGCGACTTTGTTTCGAGAGCGATTCCAGCGATATCGTTGCCAACAACGACTCCGCCCGTCATCGCACTGCCAAAGCCCTTGGACTTCTGGATGCTGGCAATCTCTCCGCCTGAGTCACTGTTGGAGATCGAGTTCTGGCGGGAGAGTGTACGGCGTATGTTCGAGTGCTCCGTTACGTCTGGCAGCCCGCCAAACCCGGTTGTCTACAATAAAATTAAATAGGCAAAAGGGTCGCATTAATTTGCTGCTTTTTATTGGACTTATTACCTGACAGCATAAGGCGCTGCCTTTTATCCCAACCCCACCGTCCGCTTCGAAGTTGCTTCATTAAAAGTACGTCAAAGTTTCTTCGTTGATTTTGCGCTCTAATTAAAACTGCTGCAAACTTTGAACTTTTTGTAATATTCATAGCTGGCATGAAACATCAACAAGGCTCAATCTGAAACTTTTTAATGAACCAAGTGACCAAATCAAAATCAATGCATTTGGAACCTGTCAATTTGATACACCAGGCGCGGAGGCCCACTGGCTGTTAGGCTAATCTCGGCTCTAACTTAATTGAGCCTTAGCAATAATTCATATATGCCACTGTGCATGGAATTGGTCGTCCGCATTAATGAATGTCGCCCAAAAACTTTCTTTGGCAAAAGTTTGTCATCAAGTTTGCCCCGAACTGTCAATGGTTTGATTAGATTGGGACTCTCTGAGGGAATTACGGGAAGACCAACTAAGGGAAATTCCCAATGAATTAAATCAAATTCCTTTACGTGCATTATAGCCATCGGTGCACACCCTTATCTCTAATGAACCTAAATCATATAGACTAAGCTTAAGGTTTTTGTCCCAAAGACCTGCATTTTTCAATTGAATTAAATAGTCCATTTTATTGATTATGTGGGATCCTGTTATCTATAATTAAAAGCATATTTTATTCCGCAGACCGCAGCCACCCGCCCTTCTTATTTTGTTGCCCTTGCTCCTTTATACGCATTTGCGGTTAATTAGGTGAACCTCAGGGTATGTGAGCAATGAGCAAAAAATATTTCTTTAGCTAAGATTGCTGAACTAACTATGAGATACCCTTTACCCAGAAATATCTCATGAAAAATCGACTTTTTAATCTTATCCATTCAAATCTTGATTGTTATATTTTTCCTTTCTTCTTAACTATCAAATGTAACAAAATTTATGAACCCAGTTAAGGGTTAAGAGCCTGAAACTCGTCCTTCTGCCCTTACTTGCAGAGTTTTATTTATTCCCATTTTTACCCTAGCTTTATGCTAACAGAGTATAAAAGAGAAAAAGAATATCTGAAAATGTTTTTATATGCCAGTGAAAAATTAATTAAATAAAATACACGCGATGCAAAATAGGATGTCGGCCATGCCCGAAGTACAACAGAATGGGACGCCTGATACATTTAAAACTATTTTTAATTATGAATTGCGCCTGCATCCGGCAGCGAAATTAACTTTTATTAATACTGGCGAAACTTTCGACATCGCAATGCAAGTAATAACAAGTGGGAACGTTGTGCTATCAGTTTCCCGACTACAGGATACGCTATGTTCAGGGTCAAGTAGATAGCCAAATCTGAAGTAAGCAAAGTTTGGGCATTTCTCATCTTCATAATTAGGAGAGATATATATTATGTGGGTGGTATTGGTAAAGTAATGTTGGTCATTAAATAAATACTATATTTGGTTGCACTAGTTTTTGTCAAACAAATATATTCTGCTTATAGATAAATAGGCGGACTTTAGTGCAATCCCAATATACTCTTTCCCCTTTGAAAACAGAGTAGAGAAATAATGAGGCTGGTTAAAGTTTCATAAAAAAAAATCAACTCAATTTTTAATAAAAATGCAAATATTTTTCATGCTTTGCATTGCAACGATGCTTTGCATTCTCTGTATTTCTCATTCTTCTAAAGACGGCTAAAAGGCCGTCAAGTCCTTTGGTATAAAGGTTAAAATAGTTGCGCTTATTACAGGTTGACATATTTGTATACCAATATAAGCGAATAATTTTATAATAACTATATATTTAAGTAGTTGGCATATATGTATGAGCTTGTTACAGGGTATCTTTGGGTTCATCGCTGCTTTAAGGGTGCATTATTTTAGCCAGTTGTTTGTTTTGCATGGCGGGTGCCAATGCGAAAGTTTGTAGTTGGCGCTGCTACCACGAATTTTTATCTGAGTATTGAAATGATGGGTGGTTGGGGGCGAATCTTCCTTTAACCGGAAAGCAGTTTTAGCCACATTTTGCACTGAATATCCCTGCGTGGCAGAGGCGTTGGCGCTGTTAACAAATTTATGGGCGGTGGCAGGCGATGACCTCACAGCAGGTGGCTGCATTTGGGGCATGTTCAACATTTTGGTTGCACTTTGCTGTGGCTGTTGCGCCGAGCTTATAATAATTTCTAATTAGTTCAATTCGGCTCTAGAGAAAATTTGCCGAAGCTGTCAAAACAGTCATGGTGTAATTTTATAAGCTGGTTTGCAAATTTTGTTAGGCGTTATTGTCCATGAATGGGGGATATTTCTATTGCATTACTGAATAGATCTTAACAGGCTGATTTTTATGCTCAAAAATATAAAGTTTTACATTTTTTTTTTAAATAAGACCTATTTGTCGACGAGCAGTAGTTTTATAGATTTACACAGAATACATTATAACACGTCAACGCCAGCATGTCAACGGACCAGGACAATCATGTTGCGTCTAGAGGCCCAGAAGATTTCGATGTTTGGTCCGACATACCCATTGATCAACGAACAAAATTTGAAATGGATGCGGCAATGGAGCCAAGCGCTGAGAATAACGACTTTTTGGACAATCCCGTTCTTCGATTCCCACACATAAATATAGATATTTTTAATATTGTTGGAGCCGTTGAAATCGACGGGGAAGTTTCGGCTGAGACGTGGGCGATCATCGAGTCTTTGGTGGAGCACGAAGTAGCCCAAATGGAAAACCCACAGTAGATTCAAGTATCCGCTTGTGTGAAACAGACAAATGTTTGTTATATCTCTAAAAGTGAATTAGAACTTTAAACAGACCTAACTATTTATGCAAGACTCTTTGAGGTCTACCATATACCAAGAATATGACAGCGAAAAATGGCTTTAAAATTCTTTTATATCCTGAAGCAGAGCTGGATTATACATACTTTAATACAGCTATGCATATTTGTACCCAGGCAGGAGACGTCCGATGTTTTAAAGAATATGCATATATTTATACACGATCATATCAAGATGTGAATATTATTTAAAAAATACAAACACTAAAGCAAAAGTTTTAAAAGAACTTTAATTAGGTGAAATTAACTTGTTCTGAGTAAGCTATTCGGAATGTTAAATTACATCTTGTTTTTATTGCCTTGCTTCGGCAATATAATTCTTTTATTACAAATAGCTGAAGTCTCTTCTGCAGAGACTTTTATACATTTGTTCGTGTTGTTAAGCAAACTTGATATCTTGAGCATTTCGCTGTTGAGTTTTAAATAAGACTTAAGCACACGATATGGTTCCAACTGCTACTTTCATAGGGCCTGACTAAAACACGCAATTTCAGCAGTATTTTATTTTTGTAAATCATCAGAGCAGAGCAGAGCGACAGGCGGCAGTCACATGACACAAAAGACGGCGAGCAACGGGAGCAAAAAGGCAGGAATAGGAACAAGGACAACAAAAAATGGCAGCTGTAACAAGAAAAGCAAAGGATTTAAGCAAAAAAAAACCTAGCGGAAAGCTTTTTAGTTTTCCGTTGTATTTTCTTTCGCTTTTTGTTTTAGGTTTTGTATACCTAGTAAACCAAAAATACCAAAACAATGGGAAACAATTGCAGCATTCATATTCATCTACATGTTTAAATTGGTGAAAGAAATCTTATGAAAACAGCAGCATCGGATTACTATATCGTATAGCTTCGATTGGAGCAATTGGCTAGAAATATAGAAGTGTTGTGGGACCAAGTATGGAAACATATCGATAATTTGCTATATGTATGCAAGTGTATTTAATTCGTATGGCTTCTTCCTTTAATTTTTAAATAACAGCAACAATGCGCAGAAGAAAGAATAATGTGTAGAAAACTAACTAAAAAATAGATGCTGCTGTTTAGTGTTGCTGTAGCAACTTGCAGAAAACTGTTGTAAAAACTTTTCTGTTCTTTTTCCGAACCGTTCTAAACTTATTTTGGTCTGTGTGAAAATTCGTTGAAGACATGTTTCACAGTTTTCGCAAACCCCACTTCTATAGAGGGTTAATGGGGGTCCAAGGTTTTTGGGAAAGATAAAGTTTTGCCAGAGTGGGTTCAAACTTATTTTCATAATGGCTTAAACTTGGAATGTAGATGCTCCTATGGGACGCTTGGAATAAGTTTATTTCAAATTACGAATTACCCCACATTGCACCGCAACCAAAAAAATCGATATAAATATGTATGAGGTAGTTACAGGGTATCATCTAGTGGTGTATTCTCGACTCTAGCGCACTTGCCTAAAGAGTAACATAGAGCTTTAAAATAGTTTTGAGAAATGATTATGATGAACGCGTTCATACATATATATGGAAAACTGATTTGTGCCCAACTTTGGGGATTTTTCGCCCATTGTGGTCCACTTTTCAACGCTTGCCCATTACGATTTTCATGCCCCCCCTGTGTCGCCTGGGGGGGGGGGGGGGTGTTGTAGTTGGAGTTCTCGACATCGTCCAATGCCGCTGCTGTTTTGCAGGCTGCGGTTCATGTCAACGTCGGCAAGTTTTTAGTTTTTCAAATGTCGTTGGGGCTTTTCACGCTGATGGACATCACCAGCAATAACGACAGCATTCCTCTCGCGTCCCCGCAACCCACTACAATTCTTTTTCCACTTCTCGCCTGTACACCCACTAACCGCAATGTTGTTGCTTTGTTATAGCCCGTCCTGGTCTCTAGTCTGAAATGGGCATCAAGAGGAAAAGGAGCAGCTGCCCGGACTGGCGGCGATGGCTGTGCTGGGACTTGGTGTTTGTTTGCTTCTGAGTTTGTCTGTTTCTATGTTTGCGTGTATGTCTATTTGTCTCTGAGTTATCTGGGCGATGACCGGCGATTGTCTAGACCCTGCTCTCTCTCGCTGTCTGGTTGTGTCTGCGCTGCGCTTAGTTTGCTATTTGTATTGGAAGTTAAGGAATTGAAGCTCTTTAAGTGTTCATTTAACAATTGAAAGTTTTAATCGACTTTCTTTGTACAGCACTCTTGTGCGCCCCAACTGACCTTAAACCAAGTAAGTATATGTGTGCGATGGCAAATGGCGTCTCCATTAAAAGCAAAAGTTGACAAAACTTGTGTGTTTAGTGTTTATCGCGATTGGCTACCCACACTCTGCGTGCTTAGTAGGATAGGATTAAGAAATGGAGCCCTAAATAATATATGTTCTATTTGTAAGCTAGACTATCTTACTAGGGTGCGAATTAGTTTAATTCATACAGACCTCGCTAAATGAACAACGAGAAGCCCGGTAAGTGTATGATTGAAGTCTTAGCCATAGCATGTAAGAGGCCATACTAGCTGCGAGTGACATTTTAAAAGTTAGGTTGAAAGTAGCTTGCAAGTTTATTAAGTACCTGTAACAATAATATATAACAGATTAGCTCATTGTTTCCAAATAGAAGCCTGTACAAACATGCTTCTCAGTTGTTGCATGTTGCATGTTGCATGCTGCATATTGCATGTTGTGATTGTGTGATTGGAGTGTGTTTTGTGTGTAGTTTATAAGTCAACAAGCTTATCGATTGTATTTTTAAGCTGACTGGCATAGATGACTTGCCACAGTCATGTTTTCGCGGATAATAAGTCATGATTACATAGTATTCCATCATGTTAAAGTCCTGAAGGGGAGTGGCAACAACTTTCGGGTGAAAAAAGGAAAGCAAAGCCTGAGCTGACAAGAACATTGACGGGTACAGAACACAAAAATATGCTAGTCAAGCTTGAGAGCTTTGCTCTGCACCCGCACACTCAGCCATCAATCAAGGAGCGGTTCGACAACACAAACTTAATTCTAAAATTCCATTTACCCAGCAAATGCATTCCCAGAAAATAAATTGAATAGGATCTTAAGCAGAAGGCTAAGTGGAGCAGCTCGGCATAAACGAATGCTGGAGAGTAAAACATAGCACTTGAAATTGGTGGGCAGCACAACGAATTTGCAGAGTAAACACTTAAATGGAGCGCGTCCTAAGCCAGAGTCAAATCGGAAAACTGAGAAATGTAGTCAATCAGGATTAAGTCAAGCTATAGATGGGTCACTGTGTGTTGGCCGTTTGGGAGGGGTTTTTATGTATTTTCTTTTTGTAGTTTTTGTAAAGAGTGTACACAAAGTCAACTGAAAAAATGGCTTCTTCGGCAAGCAGGGGAATAAATACAGTGGCAGACATGTGAGTTAAAATTGTGTCTCTACAAAGGGAGCTTTATCTCCGTCCTCGCCTCGATATCGAAAACTACAAGGGACTAATCTTGAAACATATATTTTAGGAAGCTAGAATATGCGCAACGGCAGCTGAGCGCTGTGTTCAGAATATCTCCTAGTCGGGCACTCCCAACTAGAGTTTTTTTACTTTTTAGTTGCTTTAGCTATATTTTTATATTTAAATATATCTTTATCTATATATATTTTCATGTTTGCACCAAACAAGAATCTTGCGTAATTCTGCAAAGTGAGCCACTGAGGAAAAGTTGTTGATAAAAAGCGTTGAAGCGGCAACAGGCACCGAGCAACGGAAAGATAAGCTACTCGAATTGCTGAATGGCCGGGCACGAGTCCACAGACGAGGGACAACGGAGCATGCAAGCGTGGCAATAATGACTATATTTATGGGCTTGGCGAAACGCATAAAACGCAGGTTCCGACAGACAAACAAACTCCACGACTGCGAGGATGCAAGCGGTAAGAAAATGGATAAATGGTCGAGCTGCAGAAAAGAAGCTGCAGTAGCTGCGTCTGAACGACACTTGCAACATTTAATTTATTATGCAAATGTGAACAAATGGCCCGAATGGTCATAGATGACAGGCGACGTCGCGGCTTGAATAATGGCCAAGGAGGACAATTTCCCTTTGCTTCGCTTCAATTCATTTGTATTCTTTACAGCTTTGGTTTTATTCGGTTCAATGTCCACTGCTGTTAAACTGAGGGAACTGTTTTCTTCTCTTGCAAAGAGATAACACATGACACGGCTTCGGGAATTTAAGATGCAAAGTCCAAACAAATTGAGTTACATGCAGATAATCGTTTATCAGATTCGCTCACAATGTGTCCAAATAAATGTATTTTGATTTGTCCACATATGTCATGCTCATCTAGCTCTCGGGATTTGGGAATTTGTGAGTTGTAGTCGTATTGGGAATATTAACTGCATTTTAAATCAAGTATGCGTGCTTTAGTTGAGAATGTCCATCTGAACACTTTGTGCTTTTTATTCTTGTCTAACTGTATACAATATGTTTATATGTATACAAGAGCTGTCTAATTTAGTTATGGGTATGAGTAGGAAAGCAATAGGTAAAATAATTGATATTTGGGTGAGTGAACTTATTTACATACTTAATTTCGTAGCTATGGGTGGTTTACCAATAATTAACTAAAAAGTGGGTCTTCATATAAATTTTTATAGATTAATAAACTTGAGCAGCGCATTTGATCAGTACAATAGAGAAAGCTACATTCCAAATTTGATCGAGACGGATATGGCTAAAGCAACTCGGCTTGGCTGCTTTATCAAGGTTTGAAAATTTTGAATGTAAAAAATTGATAAAAAACGATTGTTTGAAATTTTTTCTTTAGGTTTCGAACAGATTTTGACTCCTATTTGTCAATAATTATTGGAGACGTGTTCTTTATTCAATTGCGGTCCGTGGTTGTGTGGGGGAAAGTTCAAATCTTGAAGAAGAATCAATTTAAATGCCTATATAAACACGCATTGACGCATATATATAAAATGTTTCTTTTTTATGTCTCTTTCTTATCTGTCACACAGCCTATAATCTCCATCACATTGCTGCCGCCCTCATTTAAATCTCGGCACGCATCAAATGCGCGTCAATAATCGTAAATGTGTCCCCATCGCAATGGCGGAACAGCTCATGAATGCCAATTAGACGGGCGGCTTAGCAGTTGTCAGTGCCAGAGAGAAGAGCCACATGGGAGACGCACCTGGTAATCCATGTAGTTGTCGAAATGCATGTAAGAGCCGGCGCCAACACCGCCCGGCACTGGCAGGGGTAAGGGCAGGCCGTTGCTGTCCAGCTCGACGGCGGGCGGCGGCGGTGGTGATGGCGGCAGATTGTCTCCTTTGAAGGAGACGCGCTTGGTGTGTCCCTCGGGCCGCCGGTTGCGGCTCAGTGTGCCCGCAAATCGTCCGGCGTGCATTGCTCCGCCGGCTGCCAGCGTGCCCATCATGAAGGAGAGCGAACCGCAGCCAACGACAGCATCCTGATGTGGCTGCTGGTGGTGCGCCGACTGCAGGCCGCAGCCGCCGAAGCGAAAGTGTGGCATGCAGGTTGTAGTGGCGCCTCCTCCGCCGCACTCGCTGCCCTCAAAGTCGCTTTCCACGTCCGTCACAAAGGCGGCTGGTTGAAAGCTGCGCGGCAGCGTCGCCGCCGCTGACGCAGCCATTGCCGACGCAGCAGCCGACGCTGGCGGAGCGCGGCTTAGTGTGCCCGTACACAGAATGTTAACTGGCTGTGAATGGGAATGTGGATGCTGTTGCAGCTGAATGCTGTGTGGGAATTGTTCGCCGCCGCCTTGTAAGAGCGCCAATTCGCCGTTGACTCCGGCGCTGCACGATGCTGCTGCTCCCTCTACGCCTGCCGTGAGAATGTGAGCGGGTTGCAGCTGATAATAGTGCTCGACGCCGCCCTGAGGCTGCGGCTGCGACGCACCGGCTGTTCCCGCTCCTGGCGCCAGCAGTGTTGTTGGTATGACCATAATAGGCAGCATAGTTGGCGCCGAAGATGCCGGCGGTGTGTTTGTGCCGCAGGGCTGCAACAGCTCCATTTGGCACATCTCCTCATAGCTGAGTGGTCGCAGGTGCTCCATGTTCAAGTGTGGGCGTGGCAGCCGCTGTTTAATAGCAATTAATTAAATTCCACCTGACACTGCTATTCGACGCGTCTTTTCTCTGAATTTTCACCTAGACGAAAACACACACACACACATGCACATGTATGTATACACTGACAACGACGACGACGACTCAGTCTCTGCACAGGAAGCGGGGGTGCAGATTCAAAAGATTTCGCGCGCGTACCTTTCAAACGTTTCTCACATGACGCCTTCGCTCGTGCGCCTGGCCCAACTTTATCTCGCGACAGTCCTGCAGCAACTGAAGTACAAGCCATCCGACACATCTCGGAACTTTCAATTCGCCGTCGCCATTTTGTGCAGCGCTCGCGCATGCGTCTGACATCCGGAGCGACCATTCATTGCCGTCGCCATCGCCTCCGCCTTCGTCGACTCCATCGCCATCGCCACTTGGCGTTTTGTTTTGGTTATACTTTGTGGGTGTAAGTGTGAGTTCGCCATGCTCCGGTATGGAGCCGCGTCGAGGGAAATTAAAATACTTGAAACTGCAGCGGCCAGACTTGAATGCAAGATTTTAATTGCCGCGCCGCGAGATCCGCATCATGGGAGCATCAACAGCAGGGGCCAAAGCAGCTGCGTTGGAGGCGTCCAACCAACTGTTGACCTAACTGCGGTCATTCGCTGGATGGTCAGCTGAATGGCCCTTAATTGCAGGGAACATGCTCCATAGGAAATGCATAGAATTTTAAAACAAAAAATATATAATTTTATTTCAATAGAAAATTTACGAAGCGCAAGTTTGCAAATTGTTGAATTGAGTTCGCATCGAAGGTAATCCAAAGTTTGAACTTTTAAATTCATTATAGGAGATTGTTACTAATATTAATATCATAATTTTCAATAATATTATCAGCTTGTATATAAAGCTATCAACATAGCTTCGGCTGATATAATACTACATCCATACACTAGCCAGGAATTAGATCCTGGAACACTTATCTATAAAAAATAGACAACAACAGAAAAACAGCTTTTAGCTTTTATACGCAAAATCTCCACGGATGTTGTTAGCTTGATTTGTTTCGTGTGTTGAGAATTTGATTCGTTCTACTTTTTGTGTGGCACAAGCTTTTTGGTGAATTCGTCTTGCGACTTCAAACATAATCAGGAGATGTCAGCTAATGGATCAGAGAATTGACTTGATGCTATTTGTTTGTGCAAATCTATTCCATAAGCCAAGGTAGCCGACTGGTTCGAGCCATGAGTATTAGATATGCAGTATGTATGTACAAATATTTTATCTGTCCACTTTTTTTTTGGCTCCGAGTGAAGAAGCGTAGCTAGAGCCCGCGAGGCGGCTTTGCGTTCCATTTGTGAGACAAAGGCAAAAACACAGTTGGAAATGTCTTCTGCAGATTTTTGCTTGAACTGTTTCATATTTTGTACATTTTTGTGTATCACCGCGCCTGTAACCGCTGGCAGCGCCATCGTCACCGGTCCTCGGCCTCCGGTGCCTTCTCCAGCATCGTTTACATTTGTTTCATCCTATTATCCCGGTTAACCGGCTCGTTCGCTGTATGTGTGGGTTCTATACCTTCATCCGTTCCGCCCGTCTTGCCCACTGCCAACGTGCGCCCTGCCATTTGTCAAGTATTGCGCCCAACTCGACTTTTTGTAATTACAAAAGCGCGGAGGAGGCGCTGCCTGGCAAAGAGAAAGCGGCTTAAAAATCAGCGTGTTGGGGTTTTGTGGTGCTCGTTAAAATTTGCTGCTCTCATTTCGATTGTTGTGGCTGTTGTTGTTGTTGCCGTTGTTGTTACTGCTGCTGCTGCTGCTGCTACTTTTGCTGTTTTTGGCATTGCTGTCGGCGGCCCTAGTGTTTTTTCATATCCCTGCGGCGGCAGAGTAAAAAAGGCTGTATTAAAGGTAAGTATTTTGCTTAAATGTGCGAAACGGACTTAGGAGCAATCTGGATTCCAGTCTCGTTTCCAGTGATTTACTGTGATTGGTGATTTCACTCGAAGCGCACTTTAATGCACATTCAATTTTCCGGTTGGCGAGCAATTAAAAGTTTTGAATCATTTAATGGGCAATTAAGGCAGGACAGTGTACAATAAAGTTGCCCAAAAGTATGCAGCAATATATATCGGATACATTTTGATGTTGCATCATTTAACGGCTGGTTAACCACGGAAACAGTTGAAAAATGGGCCCGTCCAAGGGGCAAGGAGCGTGCATAATTTGAGTGCTGCGGACTGGACTGGCATCAAGTGGAAGCGTTTTGCTGAAAAATCGGACCTGTCAAAGGGACGGCACTCTGAAATAAATTATTCCACAACGACGAACATGCTCGATTACATTTTTTGGGAATGCTCTATCATGCAACGTCAATGATATAATATCATAGTACAGTGAAAACAACCTAAAGATACCTAGTTAATGTTTAAGTTGTTCGTTAAACTGAAAGGATTTATAGTGCTTTGTTGTGATTTGATAAAAACACATTTTATCACATTGAATTTGGCGTCGGCTCAGTTCATCTCCTCGACTAGAGCACCGTTCTTTGTTTTGTGACAAATTTAAAAATGACAAAACAGCAGATTTTTCTAATTTGTTACACACTGTAAATAATCCCATTGATAAATTGATTGGCATTAGGCGTATGGGCTAGCGCCAAGAAGATAAATAAATTTAATTTGATTTAGTTGGATGGGGGATCCATCAAGTGCCAAGAACACCACACTTTGCACAAGGAAGTCATTAAAAATCCGTAAGCTCTGACTAATTTATGGATAATTAAAAATAAAACTTCTCTTTAATGGCGCACAGCGAAGAAGTTTGATTCATAAGCCAGGTAGTCAATAATGAAGAAAAGTACAGCTAAAGCAAAATTAAAGCAAATCAACTTGGCCATGAATAATTCGCTAATTATGCAACCTGTTATGAACGCCATATTAGCATAATTCGTGTGTGGAATTATGACTGTGGGCATGTTTCATTAGATTTACATTTACCAGTGAATGGTTGGAAAAATCCGATATACGGTTAGCTAGCAACTAACAGATGGCTGGATATGCCATTGATTAAGCAAGCAACATCGTTGGAATTTTTCTTTGATAGCTTCAGGTGTCAATTAAAATGCCAAATACTAACTCAGATATTTTGCAAAATGCACGTAAGATATTAAAAAATATATTATAGAGTGTAAAGTCTTTTGAACAAACTTATAATGGTTTTTTTTTTTAAATCGACTGTGTTAACGAATAGTTATAAAATGAAGGCCAAGCTTTATATACTTTAAGTGAAAATCTAAAAAAAAAACGAATATGAATATGAATATACGTCATCCAGAAAAACACCTATATAATAAAATAACAGCGTTGGGGAATATGGACATATTTTAATGTAAAAATTAAAGTATTTCAAGTCGACTCGAAGGTCATATTAAGTTATGACCCCATTGCGAATGCGATGGCCTCCTCGCGGTGTTCCCTGGGTACCGATTATGCATCGGTTGCTAATTCGAGCGGCGACTTTGTACTTCAGAATTCAAATTTAAGTTGAATAAATAAAAAATTAAAAATATAATAATTAATATTTATGTTTATTTTTAAGAACAAATTTAAGAAAATGAGCATCGACTAAAAAATATTGACTGTATTTAAATGATTAATCAGAGTTCGATACGTAGGCATGGTTCGGACTAAGAATTTCAATACTTCAATATATTGGTAACATAAAGGTTTATTTACAGAATTAGGATATTTATAAAAAATGTTTGTTCTGAAATAATTCGTATTTAAAGTAAGGTGACACATCTCTTACTCATAAGATGGTCGAGGCCCTTTTTGGTCTCCTGTAAAGGTAGTGAATGACATTTTTAGATATTCCGGTTATTTTCACATTGGCTTCTAAATTATTTGCATTAAGCTCGCCCTCAACAGCAGCTGAACCTAATGACGCAGTGGCTGATTTAAATGCATTAAAAGGTGAGCACAGTCACGGACACGTTTTCTCATTTAAGATACATTAACCACACACATACACAACTACACACCCACACACTTACATGCGTGTAGAACCTAACCGCACACACGTTGAGGACCTAACACAGCTGAGCTACACGTTTCGCTAACGCCGCTTGCCTTAAAACTTTGCCAGTTCGCATGCCTGGTGAGCTTTTAAATTAAATCACAAAACATAGATAGAGTCAGTAGGGCGACCGAAGCAAAAGGAGGACTAAACCAAATAAATGAACCCTTTTGGGCATACTCCTTGATGTCCTTGCGAGCGCCCTTCTTGCTTAAGGCAGATAAAGGGCAGGACAGGAAGTCAACTTGCCAGCCGGACGATGACGATGGCGATGACAGCGACGCCTCGTGTTTTGCTTGGCAATTCGGTTGCCAGGACAGCTAGAAAGGATAATGGCATAAAATCCAGCAAAATGAAAAGAAAGCGGCAAATCATGTTAAGAGATTTAAATTGGATTAGGCGACGTGTGTGGTTGTGCGGGTGTCAACTCGCGCTAGCCGTGAAACCACTTCCACTACGGACCAAGAACAGCCGCCCGCTCGTCTTGACATCAATTTTGTCACTTGATGTTTTTTACATTTTTTATCCAGCGCTCTTGTTTTGTTTTCTATTTGATTTTGTTTTGTTTAGTTTTGTATGCTTGACACAATTCGTCCTCGTCAAGAGCACACGGCTGAGTGTCTCTCAAGTGTTCGATGGCATTCATCCTATCTGCTCTTTAACAGCCGTCGCAGCATAGCGTCATGTATTTAAACGTCTGTTGCTGAATGGAGACACAGAAGTCAGTTTAGCTTTTTGAATAGTGCGACAAGTCTAAGGCTCAGCCCACTATCGTATCAAGTGGCGAGAACTTTATTTAAAATGCATGAATTGTTAGTGCTTTTAAAGGCTTTAAAGACGTAAATAATTACATCAGTGAAAATGTATATCAAAAAGCTTGCTTTTAGACCTGACAAAGTTTGTGATTCTATAAATTAAAAATTTACGAAGCGATAACAGCCAAATGCATCTGTATGTAAGTATGCATAAATACACAGAATTGGTGACAATATTCTACTCTAATAAAGTGATCAATATTATTAAATAATTTGTATAGTTCACAGCCCAAGGACCATCAGGACTTCCACAATTTCCGAGTGACTCATCAAACCAAAAACTTTTTATATGCTGATCTGGTTTCAGCAGACATTTTGGAGTAAAACAGCTTAGAAATTTGATTTCCTTGGATGTCACTGGTAATGGAGGAACTGCAATT